ACCTTTTGCCTCTGGGCTTTTACCTTTCCCTATTCTATATACCTTTCTTTCCTTCTTACTCTTTTGCTGGCTGTGTGGCTGGGTGGCTGGCCCCTGGCTTCCTCCCCTCCTCCCTTTCTCGCTTCTTTCTCTTCTCTTCTATTTATTCTCTCTGCCTTCCAGCCCCACCTATCCCTCTCCTTCCTAGCTATTGACCATTCAGCTCCTTATTAGACCAATCAGGTGTTTTAGACAAGCAAAGTAACACAGCTTCACAGAGTGAAACAAATGCAACATGAAAGAATGCAACAGATTTTTGCATCATTAAACAAATGTTCCACCGCAGAAACATAGCACACCTTAAACTAATTTCCCACAACATCAGGTGCCAACTTCTATCATTTTCTAACTTATTTTGGGAAACAGTTTCTCACTGAATCTGGAGCTCACTGATTTGTTTATACGGGCTGGCCCGCAAAGTCTGGGGACCCCACTGTCACCATTCCCTCAGGGCTGGGATTACAGGCACATATTGTGCTGGCTTACTGCATGGGAACTGGGGATCTTAACTCAGATCCCCATGATTGCTTGAACCATCTTCCTCAAGCCCAGAAATGACTTTTTTAAACTAGGAAAATGGGATGACTTCATTGAGTGTTCCATTAGTGCCCTTTTCTGCCTCCAATAGATGCACCATACACTTAATACTCTGTGACTAAAGGTCATAGGTGAGCAGTGACAGATGCCACTGTGGCAACCAGTAAACTGCATTACCACCTGCTAATGTGTGGACTAAACCCACTCTAGCTTCTGAGAAGAGAAAGGATAGGGGAAGCGTGGATCCGTGGCTGTAAAAGCAGCCACTGTGCACGACGGTTGGTTCCTTTGAAGAACCAGGATGAGGGTACCTACACTGGAATTCAGAAATTAATCTTTGCACCTGGAATCTGTTCTTATCAAGCAGTTTAGTAGTCCAAAACCTCAGGACTGGCTTGTCCATTGACCATAGTAGGAATGAGTTTAGGGCTCCAGCAAAGGAAGGTCATTAAAAATAGTATTTCCTTTCAAACAATGTGAAGTTTATATTTAGTAATGAGAAAAATTGCTGAATTTCTTTTTTATTTATGTTTATGTGATATTTTCTGAGATGATAGTTACCTACTACAGAAAGGTGGGAACTGTCCATTTGGAGAGATGTAGGGCCTCTGGAGTTTGATGTTTTCAGGTCATTTCTAGGAGATTGTATTATAGTGCAGCAGGAAGTATGCGGCAGACAGTATTTTTCTTAATCTGTTGCTTTCAGGAGGAATCACATCAACATTTTCAACAGAGCACGTGCCTCAGGATGATAGGAATTTCTATGCGTGATGCTCTGTCTAGCATTGTCTGACACTAATAGCTGCGGTATAATGTTCATGGGTGAATAGGTATTTCCATTATCAGAATTCTCCTCTACTCACCCAATCCCTCGCACTCCTCCAAGATCCCAAGGCATCATCCGAAAATGTTTTGCATTTCTTCAACTTTCCTGATGATAATCACAACCTTGGAACACTCTTATTATGTTCAGGGTATCAACACAGTGTTGGAAACTCTGGTTCAAGGGTTCAGTGATCTTCAGGGTTTTTTTTTTTTCAAGCACAGCTGATGAGTCTTTTCCTCAAGCCAACACAACGGCGAATAGCAGGACTAAAGACTGAAAAGCCATGGGCACTTGGTCTTTCTATTCTGAGGGTGTGCCAGGTCTCGTCAACAGCATAGATAGTATGAGGGGGGAATTAAGTCTTTTGATCTGCCTCCACTCACCTGGGTCCAACCCCAAATTATGACTCTAAGCCCCTGAAGAGACAAGCCTGATAGGAGGGGTACCCACACCTGCACACACACTTCTGGAATTGCCCATTGAGTTTCTTGTTCCTTTTTTATTTCACAATCAGGCTTACTGTTCTGTCCCTCCTTCCAGCTGTCACCAGCACATGAGTTCACAGCCACTTTGGTTGAGTTTAGCATTGACCTCAGCCTGTTGAGCAGAGTTGACCTTCGTGTCCAGAGACGGGCTGATTTTCCAGCCAGTCTCGTAACTACATCGGAGTGTTCCTCCGAGGGTAACTGAATGAGGCATCTGTCTTCAGAGCTCTGCCTACTGTCCACCGGAGAGGAGCACCCAGATCGAGGCTGGCCCCTCCCCTTCTATACCAGGGCCTCCCACACATTTTCTCAGGCCTGAAAGGATCCGCTTGTCCCTTTTTTTTTTTTTTTTTTAGTAAATTTTATTAAATTATAAAAGTTTCCATTTCCGCCCCCCCTCCCAACACCCTCCCACTCCCCCCACTCCCCCCCTCCTTCCCCTCCGTCCCCCAGGGCAGTCAGGGTTTCCTGCCCTGTGGGAAGCTCCAGCTCCCTCCCCCTCCCTCCAGGTCCAGGAAGGCGAGCGTCCAAACAGACTGGATCCCCAAAATCCAGCATATGCAGAGGAAACAGGTCCCAGTGTCATAGTCAATGGCTTTTCAGAAAGACCCCGGGCCAGCCACAGTCAGAGAATCCGGCCAAATTCCGAGAATCTGGCTAGATCACGTCCTCGTTCAGTCCCAGTCCGACTGGCCCTGGTAAATTCTCATCAGATCCGTTCCCTTGTATCAGTGGGTGATAGCATCACTCGCAGTACTGATTTCGTCTTTCATGTTCCTCCTCCTTCCGCTCCCCCTCCGGACCTCGGGGGGCTCAATCCGTTGCTCCAATGTGGGCCTCCGACTGCATAGCCGTCCTTCGCCAGACGAAGGATCTATGGTGATAAGCAAAATATACATCAGTATGGTCATGGGCCACGGCCGATTCAGGCACCCTCTCCTCTGTCCAGAGAGCAATCTGGGGGATTTCTCCTTGGACCTGGGATCCCATATATAATCAAGTCTCCTGTAAACCCTAAAATGGCTCCCGTAGTTGAAATATATTGTTCCCTGATCCCATATTCATCCTACCTGCCTCCCACCCCCCATCCCCGGCCACCAAGCTTTCCCCGTTCCTCCCCTACTCCCTTCTCTCTAGCCCTCTCCCCCTCCATCGACCCTCCCACCCCCCCTGCACCCGAGGTTACCTGGGACTCTTGTCTATTTCCTACCTCCTGGCGGATAGGTAAATAATCTTCATCAGGTTCATCTTCTTATTTAGCTTCTCTAGGATCACGAATAATAGGCTCAAAGACCTTTAATTATGGTTAGAATCCACTTATGAGTGAATACATACCGTGTCCGCTTGTCCCTTTGTGAGTCCTCCCTTTCTTGCCTACAGGCTTCAGTGACCCCTGACTGTTTCACCAAGCACTCACAGTTCCTAAGGAGAAAGTTGAGACTGTAGCATAGCTTGAGAAAGAAAAATTGCCTTCTTCCATTCATGGTTCCATCGACCCTCCTCCTCCCTCCAAAAGAGTGCTGCCTCTATCCAAGGAAACAGTGTTCTGATTCAAATTCTTAAAGATTAAGCATTTAGGAAAAATAGACAGTTGGGAGTAATCTCTGTGGATAAAAGTGAGAAAATATGATAGACTATTTATGGTCACCTGAGAACTACAGGGTTTAATATGTTAGTCACATATGACTATTTTAATTAATAATAAAAGTTAAAAATTTAGTTCCTCATACGCTATCTAATCTCCTTTGAAGTGCTCAGTAGCCATTGTGGTCACCCATCTCTTGGTCCAAGGGCAAAGGGAATACTATATTGTAGAGTGCAGCTATAGAGAATTTTCTCAGCATGGAACATTTTATTAGATAATTTAGGTAGATGACATGTATTCCTCTTTATCCTGCATGTGTTTCAGTACATCGTTTAAGATGTGTTTGTTTCTATTTTTATAGTGCTAAGGATCAAACCCAGAGTCTCACATGAGCTAGGCAAGTGTTCTGCCCTTGAACTACATCCTTAGCCCTCAGTTAGCGATTCTTGTAGTAATGAATACTTTATTCTAGACTAAACAGTGCTGCTAAATATTGTATTAGGAAAAAAAAACAAAAATAACTTCAGTTCATGGTGAGAGAGGGGAAACTCAATCATCAGAAGACTCTATTTCCCCAGCATCCATTCTTCTATTCCCTTTCCACAAAGTATTCATTTCCCTCTCTACATTTTCTATAGATTATCTTGTTCCAAGTTAGACTTAGAAAAGGCTCAGAGTTTAACCAGAAGCCTATGTGGGGCGTAGGGATAAACAGGGGAGCAGACTGCCTCCAAACGATGCACTGGGGAAGTGAAACAAAGCAGGAAGAAGGCAGAGACTGAGAAGAGCAGGATGCTCCTGGGCCAGGAGTCTGCCTCTGGGTCATGAGTCTGAAGGATGAAGTCAGCTGTCCCTGTTCTCAGCAGTCTTGAGGCTAATAGGCTGCCAAGTGCTCATGAGTTTCTCTGGGTGGCCATTTCTCATTCATAGTCCCCTAATTCCCAGAATGTTTTTCTATAAGTATGCATTCTCTACTCGTTTTGTCCTGCGCTGTAATGAAGGAGACAATAGTGAATTAGATGCTGCTTTTAGGAGAAAGGAAGTCTTCTTTGATTTCTCAGATGAGTTGTAAGAATCATGCTATCTACAGATTCCCCACTCTCATACCCACTATCACACTTGTCACGGTTCCTGGTTCCTATAATGTTTGTGCTGACCTTTGGTGAAACCAGGGGAAAATGGAAATCAGTGGTGTCAGGAAGTGGAGGGCACGACCAGAAGCCTGCATCCAGAAACCACAAGGAACAAAAACCAACATAAAGTACAGACCAAAGTTCAGGTAGAACAATATGCAGAAGTATTCTGTGATCTTCTGTCTCTTTGTCCTAGGGTGTAGTTGTCCCCATATGTGTTAGCAACTTCAAAGCTTTTCCAGCCTTGAGTCAGGTTTTTTGGTGGGATCAAGCAATCTGAACTTCACCTCCTCAAGCTTCCCATCTCTGGGTCACCCCCATCCTACCCCAGAACCCACTAAATGAACAAATAGAGTTCCTGATGCCTAATGCCTTGTGGGCTCTGTGTCTTGCAGCTGTCTCAAACTTGGACACCGAGAGTAAACTGAGTACATACTACCGTGCACCATGGCACCAGCAGCGGAACATCTTCCTTCCAGCTACCAGGCCACCCTGTGTGGAGGAGCTGCACCGCCATGCCAGACAGAGTCTGCAAGCCCTGCGCAGAGGTAACTGATCCCAGGCTTGGGGATTTCGGGGACACGAGCAGAAGGCTGTGCCATTTAGGACATTTCTGTCCCATCAATCCTTTCACCTCCTCAGTTAAAGCAAGCACTTTGAAATATTTCTATTTTTATCCTGCATGAAATCCATGCATAATATCAACTACATGTCTATATGTATTAAAGTTACCATTATGGCCTAAATATGATCACAAAGGGAGTTCAGAAAGGAAAAGTATTAATACTGTATCTCAATATGTAAGTGCCAGTTCACAGTTGTATTAGATGACATAATGAAGGCAGTTAGATGTCTGTACCACTCAAAAATAAATTTGAATTAAATAAAAACAGAAGCCATTCCAAACAAAAAGTGTGGAGAAATGAAGGAGCCTGGCCTGCAGGAGAAGAACCATGAAAATTGGTGTATTCACCATCTATTAGATATGGGCAAAGTGAGACTTTGGCTTATAATGAAAAGGGAATTAGGTTTGACTCAGAAATAGATTCCTGGCTTCTTCCTATAGGAGATTTGGATAAGGCAATTAAATGTTGTATGGGACATGGAACCTTTTCATTGACCATTCAGCGCATTACAGGATGGTTGTTATGCTTGGCGCCTGCTCAATGATTCTAACAATCACAGTAAGGCCCTCAAGTGCTCTTCTGTTTCTATTGAGAATCTCTGAGCTGATCCAATGCCCTCCTTCTACAGGGAGGCTCATGGAGGCTTGAAATGTGTGGAAACTTGTTCAGGGTCGTGCAGGCTGGCTTCAGAGCAAGTACTTGACCCTGATCCTCTGATCCCCCAGCCAGAGCTCTTTCCTACTTTTCCATATACTGTGTCTCATGAAAATAGAGATTCATATTTGCTTTTCTGTCACAGCATTGAGAGCATCAAAGGCAGGCATCTAACAGCCCAGGCAGAAAATGCATCTTTTTGTACTTCCCAGTGCCTTAAAACCTATGAGAATAAGAAGACTCAAAATGCTCATTATTCTTTAAAAACCCCCAAAATGGATATCAGAAGATGCTATGCCACATTTTCTGGCCTTTAGGCTTCTGTTATGGAGACAGATGCTGTCTACACACTCACTGTATTTGTTTCAATATCCCTACACTTATTTAAGGATTGGTAGTTTGAAAAACCATTCCAATGCAAATAAAATATTTTAAAGCTCTTTTCGAGACTCAGAAAGCCCTAATAAGTATTGCTTCCATCCATGTCTGTATGACTTCTGCCTTTTTTCCTTTTAATGAAACAACTGTCCCCAAAGTAGTTGTTCAAAAGTTTTTGTGCAACTTATTAGTGGTAAGATGCTGTGATATTTATAATAGAGAAAGGATGTTTAATATTCATTTCAGTTTTATGGTTGGGCAAAAAATAATTAAAATAAAATTAAAAAATTAAAATAAATTTTTTAATGCAGACCTACCTTCTGGAAATCTTCCTCTCTACTATTCTATTCCTAAGCACCTTTCCCATAATAACCTGTGCGTCCTCCTGACACGCACATGTAGCCATCTGTCATAACTGACCACTATGGTCCCACTTGCATTCCACCGCTAATCTGCAAGCAACTCAAGGGGAAGGACGGTGCCTTATTATTTTATTCTATTCAGAGCACATAGCACAAGCCGAGCATATGGTAGGCCCTCAATGGATGTGTGTGGAAGGGAATGAAGTCTGCAGAAGATGGCTTGAACATCGAAGCCACAAGATGACTCCTGAGGAATTTTAGCCGTCTCATTAAATGCTTTCTTAGTAGACTTCATTCTTTTTTTTAATCGTTTTATTATTATTAATCCGTCCTCCCTGATTAGATTTTTTTTTACAGATTTGACCAGGTAACACTGAGCTGCTCCTAAGCTGTCATATTTCACTGCTTCAGCAGGTTTGGCCTTAATAGCAGAACTGAAGAACAGCAAGTACCAATATCATTTTTTTCTCTGCAATTCCACCTAGGGGATGAGAGATGAATATAAGGCCTTCTGGGGTTTAGATGGGAAGACTATGAAGCCTGTTTTGCCCTGTTCAGACTGGCTTGCTTTGTGGTTGGCTCAATAGCAAATCTTGGGTGTAGTAGTTTTAATAGCACTGCAGAGAGCCATAAACAGGAATTATAGGCATCATAGAATTAAAAACATGCAGTGGTGTAGAATTAAAATTAGAAAGCGACTTTAAAAAATAAATAAATAAATATAAAATAAAAAAAAACCTTGCCTAAGAAACAGCAATGCAGCTGTGTATCCATCAGCATAATCCACTTCTGCCATCTGGTGGTGGGGACTAATACCAAACTTGCAGACATGGGCTTGGCTCCCTAACCTTGGCAGTGAGCTTCCCCGTGGGGAGTCTCTATTTGGACAGCTGGAGTCGCTTTCATGGAGAGGGAGAGGATGATGAAGCATGGGCAAGCAATACTGGTTGGTTGCAGATCTGTGCTCGTTTGGGAACTGAGACTAAACTTTAAATTGGATCCCTTATTGTCATCCCCCTACCCTGAACAAACCGTACTGAAGGCCAGGCATTATGCTGGATTATAGGATTGAAAGAGCAATCAAGTGTGGTCTCTGCCTTCAAAGAATTCCTGGCGTAGTGAGGAGGATGGAGAAGTAAGCAGTTAAGTTCAATCCGGTGCTGTGGGGACTGAGCAGAAATGTACCTATCATGCTATGGAGCCTCAGGGAAGTGGCGTGTAAATGGATTTCAAGTTGTTTAGAATGCAATTATTGCTTTCCCTTTTTCTTAGCAATTCTTTAATGCTCAGCACCAGTAATAACTTTAAGTTATGCCATCTTTTATGTTCATAAAACACACAGAGAGACTAATACATGGCTATAAAGAGATAATTATATTTTATATTTCCTTTCGTTTCAAGTTTCTGGCTGGTGTCTACGTTTCGTTGGTCTAAAGGAATAAGGATGAAAATTGGCCTGCAATTGCCGGCCCTGGTGGACTGATATTGTCTCGTACCTCGCCAGTGGTGAGAAGTATCATTAGTGTGCCATTAATTTAGACTGCCTCCTTTTGGCCTGAGTAGAGGAGAAAATATATTTAAGACAGTATGGGAGAGAAGTGGTTGAAAGGGAAATTGAGCTGCTACCTCCCCTCTCACTCTGCCCCCTTTCCTTTCTTCCTACGCAGTGCAGCCTGTCTGCTCTGCCTAGTGAATTTAAGGATGTAAAAGATTTCCTTGTGCTGCCGGCCATTAGAAAAAGCCCACTACTGTTCGTTTGCAGAGAGCAATGAGGCTGAAACCAGAGGTGGGAACTTTTTCAAGAAAGGCACCTATCTCATAATTTCTTCTTGATACACGTTGACTTTGGAGGCAGTATAGCAAAGACCACCTATGTGCTGGGCTTTTTGAGAACCTTTCTCTGGCTGTGGATGGAAACTAATATTTTTTTTTGAAGAATCTCAAACAAAAGAAAGTGAGGGATACTGTCATGTTTTCCTAAACTATGTACTAAGCCTGTGACTCTAAGAGGTTAGATTGTGAGGACCAAAGGCAATTAACTCCATGGTGGAAGTCAGAGAACTTGAGAGAACTCAGTTCCTAGTTTTGGCAGCAAAATATTGAATGAAGCAAATAAAGATGGGACCAGTGAAGACAAGTAATAAGATGTAGAGAAACATGGATCATTAATTGTGCCAACAGCACAGTTCATCATAAATGTAGTGTAATAGGATGCATTCTCTTTTCAAAAACCTAGACTTCAGTAAAGCATGACGTGGTCCAGTCCTTCAACAAGCATTTAATGATAGTCTGTTTCACAGGTGCGGTAAGACCTCTGATCAAAAGATGAATCTAATTTTGTTTCTGAACTTGGCCGGGTGGCACAGACAAATTGTGAATTCAAGAAGCTAGGCAAGAGGATTGCCAAGTTTAAAGACCTGCCTGGACAATTTAGTGAGACATTGTCTCAAGAAAATATACTAAATGGCTAGGAATATAGCATAGTAGCAGGGCACTTATCAAACCTGTACAACAACTATCAATCACATACCCTACCCCGCCCACACACATACCTAACTGCTCCAGGGTCCACTTAAATACAGTTCAAAAGACTGACAAATAGAGAGATGGTATTTTTTTTTAAAAAATCAATACAAGCATGCAAATGGGGATTATACAGCCTTGAAAGAAAGGACATCTGACATCACCTGGAAGGGTCAACTTAGTTTGCTTTGCATCAACCACAGGCAAAAGGAGGCAAATGGTACCTTACAAGTCATAGTGTTGTAACTGTTCAAAGAATTGGGTTGCAGCAAAATATAATTATATTCAAATACTGAAAACCCAAGACGTCGTGCTCCAACAAATGATGTATATTTGTCCTTTACGATGCCTGTAGGCCAAGCCATATCAAGGTTGATGACACAAGAACTATGTCTGTACCACTCATCACCGCACAGTGACCCTTTCTTCCTGAATCTGCAGATGAGGGGGCAGATGGGTGCCCGTTCGTGTGGTGCTTTTGAGAAGGTGCAGATGAAAGCTTTAGCAAAGCCCTTCTGGCACATGGCAATAAACATGAGGAATTAGGAATAATATTCTACATGAGATGAGTGTCACTAATGGTAAACAATGCCGAGACAGAATGAAAAAATGGGATACGCAAATTTGTACCTCGATTACGATAAAACTTCAAGCTCTGAGGGTGAGTGTAAGCTATATTTCGGGAGATAGACAACTTTTAGTGTAAGCAAGGAATGTTCTAAGGTACATGAAATACTGGAAACCTAAGTTGTATTTCGAGCATCTCTGCGACATCTATTTATTTGTTTGTTTGTTTGTTTATGTGATGCTGAGGATCCAACTCAAGACCGTATCTCAGTGATTCTTATTACTTAACCCCTCCCCCCGATATTTTTTAGCTTTCCCACAAAGGCAGCTTTATCCTGGAGTAATAAAAATGTTGTTCCTGGGATTGTCTTGCTTTCTCTGGGAGCACAAGATTATAAAACCATCTGAGTCTCTGTGGGTAGCAGGAAGAGGAGGATGTAGATGGCTGCACTGGTGTGCTTGTTACCCAGTTTTCTGGGGGGAAACACAGAAGATAAATAAAACACCCAGTGCTTAACGTTTGTCAGTGTCTGTGATTTAAATACAGTTGCCATAGCCTGTTTCAAGTATCTACAGTTGAAACACTGGCTCATAAAATCTTCCTGATTCCATGCAGTTCCTTCCTGGAGCTAGTGACACCTAGGGCCAGCAGCTGTGGTATGGCTGCATCTTCTCTGCACTTTAATCCTCCTGCCGGCAAGGCTTGAAAGGTTAAAAAAAACCCATTGTTTTTAACCTTTTTTTTTTTGTTCTCACTTGTGAGATTTTGAAATGAGAAGTGTTGAATTTATAAAAGTAAGCCACCATGTACCAAGATTATATGATGGACCCATAGAGGTGAGTGTATCTACCCTTGTATTCACAGCAAGTGAACATTCAGTTAAGAACCATTCTAAAGATCTGATGCGGCACATAGATTAACTAGATTAATGAAAGTTCACCATTTTTTTGCAGCTCTTTGTTAACACTCTCAAGAGGGGAAGAACAATGGAAACTATCAAGTGTGTTTCATTATGTTTATCTATTCTGCGCCCTCAGAACACCGGAGCCGAAGTGATCGTCGAGAGCAAAGAGCGGCTGCTCCCCTGTCCATGGCTGCTCCACCACTGCCAGCCTACCCTCCTGCGCACAGCCAGAGGAGGCGCGAGGCCAAGGACCGCCATTTCCTGACGGTAAGCATGGTGGCTGCTCTGCATTTACTCATCTTGAGCACTGAGTACCTCTCTGCTCAGTGAGGGAAGCTGGGCTGGCTGAGAGGGCAGGCCATAAGCATGTAAGAACTCCTTTCCTTTTGGGGTACACACACACACACACACACACACACACACACACACACACTTGCTAGCTGTGTAATACAGAAAATCAATAAGAGTTAAGGACTGAAATCAGAAGACAATTTTACTTCCAATCCCATCTCTTCTTATATGTTAGAGTTTAGGATTATTTCTTTCTCTCAGTTCCTGCCTTTGCAATAAGAGGTTATTATTTATATAGTTTAATAGTGCTTGAATATGTGCAGAGCTTCACACAGGGACTGACTGACACAGACTAAGACACCTATAAATGTTAACCACCACTGCTTCTACCATTATTACCAGTCTGACTCCACAGGAGAAGCTGGAAAAGAACTTATGTGATGTGAAAAGTTACCACTGGCATCAATCATAAGGTCAAGCTTTCCCATTCGATGTAAGAGGCTACTTCTCTAGGGTAATCTATTAGCTCACTGACATCATCACCGCGGGTGGTTACAGCCTAATCTGGGTGGATGTGGCTGTAACTCAGGCCAAGCTCTCAAGGGTGGACCACAGATGATGAAGCTGGGCCTGAGTGGAAACACCTGCAAACTCAATCAGCAGCTGCTGCGAACACTTCATCCCACATGAGCCTTCTGGGGCCTCGGTGGGGATAAGTAAACATTTGCTTCTGTGTACTTGTATCATTGAAGTCAGGAACTATGGTCACACGACCAAGCCAGTCCAGATTGTCGTCAAGCTTGCCAGCACTCCTACTCTCTTATTTTGAGTTCGAGGCCTGACGTCTACAGAAGTTACAGTGCTGTATGTAAGAATTGAGGGTTTTGTTTGAAATTGACTGCATGACTCTAAACTCTACAGCAGTGTGGACTGCACAATATGCAACACGGTACAAAATGTCCAGGTTCCACGATGTCAAAAATTCAGATGGAAACATACTTCATCTACATGAATTTGCATGTTATAACAACCACATAAGAACTTGAATGAGACTAGATGCCCTACAGGTATTTTTTCCTGTTTGCAGCCAGCTAGTAGACACTGTGTCCTTGAGTTGAGTATGTCCTGGGCACCATACTGTCCTCACCACATGCTGTGATGCAGCCCAAGAATAAGAAGGGGGGTTATGATTTTCTGATCCGTCAGACAGAATGCTACACATGGTAGTGATTTGCCATAAAAGTCCCTACTCGATGCAAGTTCTTATTAAGCTTAAATATGCTTCCCAAAGTGTTTGCTTCTAATGAGGTATTTTCTGCATAAAAATGCTAAAAATATTTTCCCATTCATTATAATATGTTTTCGGCTCATTAAGTTGGTTTTCTTGGGGAGGAGGTGAGACAAAAATTTTGAGTGCTTACAGAGGTGACAAGAAAATATAATCCTTTTTATAATCTGCATAATTTTTAATGACATCTAAATACCTAAATAAGATGCTAGGAAAAAGACTGTAAGTAGTGACTAGCAATAACTGTGCTTCACTTACCCAATAGATAGCAGAAGAGGATCCTAGATTATACTTTGGTAAACATCTGAAAGTTTGCCTCTCTTGAATTTCTCAATTCTTGAAACGTCCAAGTCACTTGGGGGAATTTTGTTTACAATTGAGTTTGGGTCACCAATTTCATTAGAAGATTTTCCATTCAAGTTAGACCTCACAGACTTGGCTAGAATATGTTTCTATGTATTCAGCTTGAAAGGCCATATGTTGCTTAAAGAGTAAAGGTTACAGGAATAAGGATAGGAACTTTGTAGACAAAACCCTGGATACAATTTTTCTTAGAGAACTATTAGATCTATATTTTATTAGAGAGTAGCTTTCTTTTTTTAATCTATAAGACTTAGTTAAGCCATTTTTTCCTTTAAAAAATATCCATAATAAATCTCCAGTATAGGTTCCCACTTCTATGTTAGACACTATAATACATTCTGGTTAACAACGGCACGGTCTGTAATGGCAAACTGCCTGAACTTGTATACTAATTCTACCATGTATACTGTGCAATTCCAGACCAGTGTATCCTTTAAATCATTGTCTTAGCCATCAGAATTGATAGTACCACATAGGTTTGGCACTAAATTGATTGAATGTGTTTGTGAGCAGTGCTTCATGCATGGTAAGCACTCCATAAACATTAGATCTGATGACGACGATGAGTATGATGGGTGATGATGATAATGAAGATGATGATAGTTTGCCATCAAGTCCTTAATGAGTCTGTCATTTAATGACAAGATTGTCAGTTTAAACCCCAACTGTCTAAATTTTGTGATTTAGAAAAGGTTTTTGTATCTTTCTGAATCCTGGTTTCTTTCTGTTTTTTTTTTTAATAATTAAATTCCAGTTTCTTTGCCTGTAAGATAGGGATAAATCATTTCAACTTTACAAGGTCATTAAGTATAGTTCATGTGATACTATATAAATAAGATTAAATCACGCTTATGCAAGTCCCTAGTACAGTGCCTAAAATATTTGAGTATGTGAACCTATATTCATAGTCAATTTTAATAAAGCTCTTATCACCAAATGAAAGGCCCGTAATATATATAACCTCATAAAATTAGAGAAAATATAAATCACTACACTCTTTTCAGAGGAGAAGGAAAACTCTAAATATTCATGCACTTTCATCCAGCAATTCCACATCTGGGAATTAACTCTAAGGTAATAGATCAGTCTATGTGAAGATTTATTCATTAATATGTCCATCAAATCAAATTTTTAATAGGAAAATATAAGTAAATATATACATCCCAAGTGTCCAAAAAGGAGCTTACTTTAATAAATTTATATATATATTCTATCCCATAGGATGTAATAAAAAATCATAGCATTATATAAGAATATTTAATGACATGAAAAAATGTATACTTTATTACTAAGGATTGTTAAGCAGAGTATCATCTCAAAGCATGTGTAGGAGTCCTACACATGTATATAAATAATATATACATATATTATTATATTATATTGTTATAATATATTATATATTATAGTAGATAAATGACTAAAAAAGCTATATAACTTTGGTTCCCAAACTGTTAACTAAAATGCCCTATGGCAGTGCCATGAACTTATACAAAGGCCACAGGATACTAAAACATTTTCAAGTAACACAGTGTCTTCACTCTAGTGATATCTGGCAGTGACTCTAAAGCAACTCCATGATTCCTACAAGTAAGAAGGGATGCTGTTTCACAGAAAAGCAAACTGATTAAATATAGCTTAAATCCCACTATTAGGTGAGAATTTAAGTAGTGTCCCTAAATACCAGCACCCTCTGTCGTCAGGGTGACAAAGGAGGTGATTGCAGTGAAAGCTTCTCTAACATGATTATCTTTTCCAATCTGCTCTTCAATTTGAAGTTCTACCATTAGCAACGGTGTATTTCTTTCTTATTGGAAGAGACACCAGCCTTGCCTATGAATTCAACTTTGGGTTATCAATTTTGATAAATGATTGATAATGAAAAGAAAGCATAATTTAGGAAATTAATTTTGGACCTTCTCTTCGGAATCTGAGCTGCAGAAAGAGGACCAAAGCAACCCTCTCCAAACCCACATTCTCACATAGCATCTCAACAGTTTGTTCATTCTCTATGGAAAAATGCAGTTTTTCACTGATCAAGGATTCCAAGACTTGTTTGGACCTGGCTGGAAGCTAAATGTATCAAGTTTATGGCAATATATATATTCAGGATCTATAAGAAAGAGAAATAGCCTAAGGTCAATTCTTTAGCCACACAAGTGGACTTTCGTCTGCAAACGTATGTGTTAAGTGACTGTTTATTGCGGCCAGGAGAGATAAGAAAAGAAGGGTGGCACCGAGGTGTGTGTTTGTGTACTGAACAAAAACTCGGTTACTGAAGCTCATTTGTCTTCAGGTAGAATGCTTGAGGAATTTTCTCCTTGGCTAGGTCATAGTCAAAATTAGGAATATCAATCAAGTGACAATCAGACTATGGGACATTTGTCAGAACTGCAACAAGTAGCCTCTTCTCAGCAAATGCACACATAGGTTAGCAATCCTGGTCAAAGCCATTCCAGAGAAATGAATTCAAGATGATCCTTGCAGAAAGTTTTGGTAAGAAGCAGTATTTTTAAGTGCTCGAGTGCTGTTGATTGGAAAACTTCGCATTTGAGAGAGTTAATAGTGTGTGTGTGTGTGTGTGTGTGTGTGTGTGTGTGTCAGTGTATAGAAAAGCACACTGATCCTTCCATGCAGCTGAAGACAGTGGTGATATAGGAAGTCCTTATCTCCCAGTATTTCCTTCAAAATTGATACAGAACAGCAAGGTTGAAAAACAACGTTACACAACCAAAAACACACCATCAAATTTTTTTGAGGGCAGAGAATACCCCAAGCACCAATTAGTATGAATTAAAAAGAGAAAAATAAACACGAAGTCTTTGTCTGTCATAGAGGCATGGAGTATAAATTTTTAAAATGAAAAAAACTGCATGGAAGTAGGGAACTAGAGTGCAGCTGGAGGCTGAAATCGACCTCCAGAAAAGTTAAATCTATCCTATGCCTGAAAATACTTCTAAAACATTGTTCAAGTAGACAAATTGATAGGAAATGAATTTTAAAGTATGTGTACCATGCAGTAGCTGCCATCCAATCATATATGGAGGTTTGAGAGGAGAAAAGGCAGAAAGAAAGGCATATGCACCCTTTAGCAACTAGAGGTAAAGGAACCAAAATCGAACTTCAGATTAGAAGAACATGTAACTGCTGCCCTGCTAAGAGCAGAAACTAGGATACTAAAACATTTGGATTTGGGCATAGTGAAAAAAAGATGCTGCCATTAAAGCAGGGATCTTGGGAAACACACTAATGTCACATAAGTGAATAAAATAGATTAGAAGAACTATGTAAGTATTGGAAATATTAGTGAAAGAATGCAGGAGGTCTG